CTCCCAGGGATGGAGCAGCCACAGCTGCTCTGGGCACCCTGTGCCAGTGCCTCAGCACCTCCCAGCCAGGAATCCCTTCCCAATCTCCCACCTGTCCCTGGCCAACTTTGGCTGCTCCACTTCCTTCTCTCCATCATCCCAGGAGGCAGAACATGGGAGGACAGAGCATCCTCTTGGATTCCAGTCCCTGCTGCCAACTCCTTCCCTCTTCTCCCACACTTGGGGCTCTTTTGTGGCCTAGATCCTGGTAGGGAGCAAGCTGGAGCACTTGGGCTCCTGTAAAACACAACCATGAAAGCAGAAAAAAAAAAAAAAAAAAGAAGGCAAAGTGGGATTTGAGGCACTTTTGGGCCTGGGATCCTGTGGGAAAGGCCTCAGACTCCACAGCCACACCAGATTGTTCACAGCCACCTCAATTGTTCTAACTCTGTTAATTCCTGGGATTAATTTCTCTTAGGAGCACTACATTGCCAGCCTGATGCCCCTCCAGAGAGCCATCACCCCCTGGAAGGTATGTTTGGTGCTCCACTTGCTTCTTCTTTGGCTCTGGGACTGGGAATTGTCACCCACATGTTGGTCACACTGATGCTCCATGTGAACTTCCCTCCTTGAAGGAAGAGGGTTGGGATAAAACTAACCTCTAAAACCCTTTAAAATTAAACTAAAGAAGTTGGAATAAACCTTGGGAGAGACAGTTCCTGGTTTTCCATGAGCAAACTTGGGATCTTATGTGAAGATGAAGGAATTGTCCTTGAGAATCTCATGTGGAGGTTAAGGTGGTGCTGCAGTTTGTTCTCCTGGGACTGTGCCTTGTGCCCTTCTCCCCTGGGAATACAGAGCTCATCTTCCTGGTTTCCCTGGAATTCTTTCTGTGTGCAGAACCCTCCCCAGATCCGTCCCTTCTGCCAGGAGGACTTCATGAAGACCTTGGAGCATGCTGGGCCTCAGCTCACCTGTGTGCTTAAGGGTGACTGGTTAGGCCTCTACAGGTAAGGCCTGACAGCCAGTAATGAATTGCAAGTGCTGATGAGCTCCAGAGCTGAACAGGGAGCGGGAAGGGAGTTCTGGGAATGGTCACCTGCAAAACTCATCTTGAGAATTCACCCAGGAGCAAATTCAGGAATCAACCCTGTGGTTTGTGTGGCTTACAGTGGAGACCCTGCAGGAGCTCTGCTCGTTATCCACTTGGTTAGCCCGAAGAGCTAATTGTTCTTAAGGATAATTGGTTACAGAGGAGATGAAGGAGGGACTTGGGGCAATATGAGTGGAAGAAATCCAGGAATCCGACGCACAGTGGGAAGGGAAATGGGAGACGGAGGAGTGAGAGGATCCCAGGAAGTGATCAGGAACAGCAATGAGGGGATGGTTTGGGTGGAAAGGACCTTAGAGACCACCCAGTGCCAGCCTTGCCTGGGCAGGGACACCTCCCAGGCCCCATCCAGCCCTTCCTGGAGCAGTCCCAGGGATGGGCAATCCATAGCCTCTCCAGAGAACCTGTGCTGGTGTCCGGGCCATGCCCAGCCTGGCCCTCTGGCTCAGTGCTCGGGGCCTCTGGGGCCCTGCAGGCCCTTCCTGATCCCTGATCCCAAATCCCTGCGCTCCTTGCCTGTCTCCACAGACGTTTCTTCAGGTCTCCCAACTTCGATGGGTGGTACCGGCAGCGGCAGCGGGAGATGACACAGAAGCTGGAGGCTCTGCACCTGGAGGCCATCTGTGGTGCGGTACGGGGCAGGACCAGCCTCCCTCCCCTCTGCTCCATCCCTGCAGAGTCTGCCTCCCTCCTCCAGGAACGGGGACGAGACACCTCCTCACCCATCCCTCAGGCTTTGCTTGGGGCTGTCCCTTTGGGCACTGCCCTGAGGAAAGCCGTTGTGTCTCCCTAGGACATTGTGGCCTGGATGAAGGACAAGTCTGAGGTGGAGATTGTGGACCTGGTGTTAAAGCTGCGTGAGAAGCTGGTGAGTTCCTCCCTCTGCCCCCTCCCAGACCAGGGACACGGGTCACATCTGGGTCTTGGGGAATGTTCTCCCTCCCTGGAGAGCTGCAAAATGGCACAGTCAGGAAAGCTGAGTGGAATCCTTCAAGCCCTGGGGATTCAGGGAGGTTCTTCACCTCCTGAGGCTCAGGTGGTGTTTGGTGCCTGTTGCCTCCTCTGCCAAGCCAAGCCCTGTGGGCAGAGGGGAGCCCTGAAGGCCTTTGCCCCTGTGTGCCCAGGTGAGAGCCAGGTGCCAACACCTGCCCGTGAAGGAGGAGACGCTGCAGCGAGTGAGCCTCTACATCGACACCATCATCGGCTCCTTGCCCGAGGACCTCCAGGCTGTGCTGCACCACCCCTGAGAACAGGGGAGGACCTCCCACCCTGCTCTGGGCAGCTGCACTTGCCCTGGGACAGCAACTTCTTCACTGGCCCAGGCAGGATCTCCCCTGGGGGTTGGAGCTGTGGCTGTGATCCTGCTCCAAGGAGCTGTGCGGGGCTGCACACGAGGAGTTGTGCCCAGGGTGGCTGCCAGCAGTGAGGAGGGACACCAGGCTGGCAGCAGCACGTGCCAGGCTGTGCCACACGTGTGCTGCTCACATCACATCATCTGCACCTACTGCTTGGGTCCTCAGCACTCCCTTGCCCTCATCCTGCCTGGAAGGAGCAGGAGCAGCCCTGGCTGGGAGGAGTTGGCCCAGGACAGCTCCTGCGGAAGAGGAGGAGATGACCAAGCTGGCAGTGTCCCTGAGCAGCCTGGCTTAAACCACCGGGAGCTTCAGCTGTGGTGGGAGCAGGAGGAGGAACTGCTGGATGTGGAATGCTGCTGTGACTTCTCCAGGGCAGAGCCAGGGAAGAGGAGCATCCACAGGGCTCAGAGCTCTCCAGAGGGACTGGTGGTGGCTGCTGGCCTCCAGCTGGCAGTGGTCCTGCCCCAGCATCAGGTCTCTGTGCTGTAATGCCACACAGGAGCTCAGTCTGGGGCACTGCCAGTTGATTTCATGCCACTTACCAACAAATCCTGCTGGAGAATCTGAGTTTTCCAGCTTGTGCCAAGCAAGAATGCCCAGAACTGGGCCGTGCTGCTCTGCTCTGGCCTCCAGGGGCAGCTGCCCCGTGCTGGGATCCCCTGCTGCCTTGGGCATGGATTTACTGTCCTCCAAGGCCATTGCTGCTCCACAACTACATTTCACCCAGGGCTGGAGTTTTTTTCCTAAAACCAGGGCTTGGGAGGGATCTGCTGCCACCCTGGCCTGGTGGGGTCGATCCTGCACGTGGCAGGATTGTTCCTGCACAGAGTTGTGGCAGCTCCCAGTGGAAGCTGTGCCATTCCCATCAGGGCTGGGGAGGGTCAGAGATGGCTGGCTGAACTGTCCCTGCTCCCCCACAGGAGCCAGGCATGAGGCTGCTGGGTCTCCCCTGTGCCTGAGCTCCCTGCAGTGAGGAATTCTGTACAGTATCCCTAGGAACAGTGCAGTGCATACTGTGTACATAGTCTGTGTGCAGCAGCTCTGCGGGGGCTCTGGAGCCCAAACACTCCTGCAAAGTAGAGAATGTTAGTGTAAAACCAACCTGAGACTGAGCTGAGTCCTAGTTTGGAGTGCTGGGGGATGGTTGGTGGGGAATGGGGTGTCCTTGCTCTGAGCTTTGGGCACTGCCGAGGGGTCCCAGCTCTCAGCCCTGTGCCTGTGTGTCCTCTGCCTCCCAGGAGCTCGGGGCTGGGGCAGGGCTTGGTGGTGTCACTCCTTGTGGGGGCAGAGGGGCCTGGCAGGAGGCTGTGGGCACAGCTGGGAGAGGTGGTGGAGGCACCAGCCCTGGACCTGGTGCTGGAAGATTTAGGGGTTGTAGCAGTGACAGGTTAAGGGATGGACTTGATGCCCTTAGAGGTCTCCTCCAACCCTGATGGTTCTATGGCTCTATACAATGATTCTAGCTTTCCCCACTGCTGGGTGGCCTTGGCCAAGAGCCTCCCTCCAGGGCAGGCAGAGCCTGTCCCACAGCAGCACAGGCCAGGAGGCCTCAGCCATGGCACCTTTATTTGCCTCTACCTGCTCCCAGCCCCATGCAGGAGCTGTTGGATGGCTCCAACACCAGCCCAAACAGAACAGAAGGACCCATCACCTCCCCTGGCCAGGGGATCAATCCCCAAAGTGCCACCAGCACCAGGACATAGCACCTGAACACTCATGAGTTCACAGTTCCCAGGGGCAGAGCAGGGACATCTTTCTGCAGAGAGCTCCAGGCTCATCCCATGCTTTCATCAGAAATTTCTCCGTGGAAAGGCCTGTCAGGCATTGGATGTGCTGCCCTGGAGGTGTCCAAGGACTGGTTGTGGCTCTCAGTGCTCTGCTCTAGCTGACAAGTGGTGATGGGGCACAGGTTGGGCTGGATGATCTCAGCGGTCTCTTCCAGCGTAAATGATTCCATGATTCTGTTCTCCATCCCTGTGGATTTGCTGGCAGCACAGGGCAGGTAGTGGGAAGTTGGGTGACCTCCAACAGAGAGAGGCTGCAGGTTACTCAGGGCAGGGAGTTGGAACCAGTTGAGCTTTGAGGTCTCTTCCCACCCAAACCAGTCCATGAGTCCAAGACTCTACAAACGTCCAGGGTGTGCCAATGCTGCTGAGGCTTTGGGCAGAGAGAGGAGGTGGCAGCTCAGGGCACAGCCCCCAGGGACTCGTCGTAGAAGGCCTTGAGGCCCTGGAGGTGCTGCAGGGAGAGTCTTTTGCCCAGCACATCCTGACGGAAGTTCTCCCTCAGCCAACCATAGACCAAACTGTGCAGGAAGCCCTGGAGGGACATGGTCAGGGCCTGGGGGAGAGAGGAGAGGCAGGGCCAGCACTGCCCTCACCTGGCCCTGCACACCCACCAGGAGCCACCTGGGACAGCCAAGGCAGGTGACACCGGAGGTGACTTTCCTCTTGGTGTGGTCAACACAACCACATCAAAACCCTGGGAAGACCTGAGAGGTGAAACTCCAACCACCACACCAGGGGGAAGAGCCAGGCTGGGCCCACAGCTGTGCCCACCCCACAGTGTGCTCAGCACCTTGGATGGGGACAAATGTCCCAACCCTGGGGCCTGGAAATGGCTTTTACTCACTGTGGCCACGTAGAGGACAAAGACTGAGGCAGGTTTGATGCTGGTGAAGGAGAGGAGGGTGAGGAGGAAGGCTGTGGGTGGGACACAAAGGACACTCCTTGATGGGATATCCTCACTGGGACCCTGCCAGGGCTGTAGGGGCTGAGAGACCCCCACTATGACTTGCCAGGTGTCCAGCAGAGCAGGAAAACCAGCTGGAAGTAGTGGGAAACTCTGCTGGAGCTGCTCCTGCCCCCGAAGCCACTGTCCCTCTCCAGGCTCAGCAGTGGCTCCACCACATTCCTGTGGCACTGGAGCTTCACCCGGTGGTACAGGACCTGGGGGGTCCGGGGGGGTCAGGGGGACACTGGGTGTGTGGCCAGACCCCAACCCACCCCTCTGCACCAGCACCTCACCGTGCAGCAGCTCAGCACCAGCAGCAGGTACAGCAGGAAGATGATTTTCCCTTCCAAGCCCACATTCTTCGCAGGGATGTACTGGGAGGCAAAGGGATATCAGTGGGGCTGGGACAGCTCTGCCCTGAGCTGTGCCCTGAGCCCCCAGGGCATGGGGTAGGGGGCACTGCCAGCGCTGCCCTTGTGCCTCTGCCTGAGCAGGGACATCCCTGGCACATCCCTCCAGCAGCTTCCCACGTGGATCTGCACTCTCAGGACCCCTCCCAGTGCTGGATGGGCAGTGTGAGGGTAAAGGGGTGTAAGGGAGGGCCCTGGTAGAGCTCACCTGGTAGCAGATATCCTGGGCATGGTGGATGAGTAGCACACAGCTGCAGGGACAGAGGATGCTGCTAGTGGACCCCAAATCCAAGCCCTAATCCCCAACCCCTAATCCCAAATCCCCCACCCAAAACCCCCATCCCCACCTCAAATCCCCTACCCCAACCGCTCCAGCCCCAGAGGTGTCCCACGTGGGGCTGCAGCTTGTCCTGGGCAGGGTGAGGAAGCCTCCCAGGGAAGCTGTACCTGGAGCAGTAGAGGCTGTAGGTGTGGTTGGAGTCTCTCCAGGGCAGCACAGGCCCGAGGGGTCTCGGTACGATGTCAGTGCCAGAGGAGCCATGGGACAGCAGCTGCCCCAGGAGTGTCAGTGCTGGCACCAGCCTGGCCGGGACAGGAGCTCAGTGTCCTGGCACAGCCTGGCACAGCCCACGGCTCCCAGGTGCTCTTGGAGGAGCCAGGAGCTCTCGGCTGGCACCTACCAGGCCAGGATGTAGGGAATTCCCTGCCACGTGCTCACCAGGCACCTGCTCCGCTCCTACCAGGGAACAGTCATGAGACACACACAGTTCTGAGCCACAATCTGAGCTACTCACAGCCTGAGCCGTGGTTGCAGCACAGGTTCTGGCACAGCTCTGGGCCAAGGGACCCCAAAGTGGAAAGGGTTTGTCCTGGGCCATGCACTGCTCCCCGAGTCCTGGCAGGGCTGTGCAATGTCCCCGGGTCCTGGCAGGGTTGTGTGGGCAGGATGGTGCCCAGCACAGACCTGCAGCAGCACCAGGTGCCAGGCACGGCCACCACGGGCAGTTCGGTAGGACTCGAACGCGTAGACAATCACCATCAGGAACGAGACTGCGTAGAAGGTCTGGGAGAGGAGAGGGAGGGGACAGGGAGAGCAGGTCCTGCTGCACCCAGAGCCCCCAGGGACCTTCCCTCTCACCTTGACACCCTCCTGACCCCTTCCCTACCCATGCCAGCCCAGCAGTGTCCCCTTACCGTGGCCACCATCCTCCCGTAGGGACAGGCTGCATAGGCCGGGACGA